GAAAATTCCATCCTCATAAAATACTTCAATATAAATATATCAATAATTATATACCTTTGAAGGTAAATTACATATATGCAATCAGTTTGGAGCCAAGTCAGAATAATCTACCTCTGTCAATAATATTTACAGCTGCCGGGCGCGGTGGCTCAAGCCTGTAATCCCAGCACTTTGGGAGGCCGAGGCGGGTGGATCACGAGGTCGAGAGATCGAGACCAACCTGGTCAACATGGTGAAACCCCGTCTCTACTAAAAATACAAAAAAATTAGCTGGACATGGTGGTGCGTGCCTGTAATCCCAGCTACTCAGGAGGCTGAGGCAGGAGAATTGCCTGAACCCAGGAGGCGGAGGTTGCGGTGAGCCGAGATCGCGCCATTGCACTCCAGCCTGGGTAACAAGAGCAAAACTCCGTCTCAAAAATAACAATAATAATAATAATAATAATAATAATAATAATATTTACAGCTCATCATGTCTTTTAAATTCCTACTCAGGACTCAAACCATTGTTTACCTCTGTTGCCACAGATTCGGGAGAAATAAATCTCATAGTATTAAAAAGCTACAACTGTTATTCTAAAAAAGTCCCTGATACTTCAGGTCTCAACATTCAAGAAACATAGACTAGACTAGGCCATTTCTAAGTTGTATAGATGAATTCCATTTCCATGGTATTCTAATACAAAACTTCAAGAGTTCCAGTAAGTTATCAACTAAACAATATCTTCTCAGTCTGACCAACTCAGGCGATCGATTATATGCTCCTGCTTAGCCTAGCCCTTTGCCTTTTCAAAATAATGACCAGCAAACACTGGTTGAATGCCCACTACGTGTCAGAAAATGGTCTAAGCATGAAGAAGCCATAATGCACATTAATTTGATGTGATTAAATTCAGGGGAATGAGGATGTTGGAGATGGAGGAGGGGAATAAATTGAGAAGACAGAAACTTGGTACTGGGATGTGAAGAAAATGGAATGCATCCTGAGGATTTGTGATTTTTCCTCTAAGCAAAGAAAAATAAAAACTTTTCAATGGGTTGCTGTCATTATCATATGCAAATTTTAGGAAGAGCTCTGGTACGAGTGTGGTTGGTGGACAAAAGAGGGAGGGACGTAAAAATAATTAGGGGTTTATAAAAAATCAAAAAACCCATGTTGTGGTTCTAAAATTGTGGTAATAAATACAGAGATAAAGAGAAGTTTGGGATAAATGTAAAGATGTAATCAACAGGACCTTCATGAAATTTGGTTAAGGATAGGACAGAGTAAAGATATAGCATAAAATATTAAATAAATATTCATTATTGACAGCCTATTAGGATTCTAGCATAGATTAATATCAGCCATCAACCAGGACAGGAAATGGTAGGAGAGGAAGACTAGGGATAAGGACTGAGCTCATTGAAGTGCTGGTTACCTTCAGGTCATCAAATCAAAAATATATGAATGTCAGTTGGAGATACTGAACTTTGGAGAATTCAAGCTAAAGATTAAGAGTTCTTCCGTGTGGAGGTTAAAGGTTCTCTACACCTTGTAGGGAGGCAGCTTTTTCTACCTCTTAGCATGGTGCCTAGCACATAGTTGATTTTCAAAAAATGTTTGATGGCTGGCTGGCTGAATGCTTTATCTCAAATTCAGGTAAAAATTTGTGTTGGCTTTTACAAGCTCTATCAGTTTCTGAAAATTAAAGTAGGGGATGAAGTTCATGAGACAAGAAAGTCATTATATTTTACATTTAAGAAGTTAATGTCACAGAGGGTCACAAAAAGACTGAGAAGGAAAGCTGATGGAGGAAATGGACTGGATGAAGGAAAAGTAGAAGATGGCGGGAATTGCCTTGGGAAAGAATAAGAACACTAAACACTTCCTTCAAAGACTGGAAGGTAGTTCTCAAGGTCAGATTCCTAAAAGTAGAAATGCTGAACTAAACAGATCCTTAAATCTTATATTTGGCCTTAGTCTTACCCCACTGTAGTCGTTCTTTCATATCTTCAAAGATTCATTTTCCCCAGGGTCTACTCATAAAACTCACCAGCTTATATTCCATAGTTTTATGCCTAGTGCATTCAAATAGATCACCTGGGCATTTTAAGAATTTGCACAAACTAACCTCATCTCTGCCCAGAAATCAGAATATAAGAACATGAAATCTGAATATTATGATGAGTTGTGCTAAATTGATAAAACAACATCCAAGTAAGTCTATGACAAGGATTACATGTTGTTTTCAGATATTTCCAAAACATTTTAAACATCAATCATATTCAAAACCCTAGTGTGTACAACCTGATACACTTAGAGATATTTTCATAGAAATAAATGTCAGAATTTAAAAAATGGAATGAGAAATAGACTAGGTTTTGGCCAACTATGGCGGCTCTTTCCTGTAATCGTAGCACTTTGATCCACCAACCCAGGCTGGTCACTTGAGGTCAGGAGTTTGAGACCACTTTGGCCAACATGGCGAAACCCCATCTCTGCTAAAAATACAAAAATTAACTAGGTATGATGGTACAAGTCTGTCATCCCAACTATTAAGGAAGCTAAGTCACCATCAGAATTACTTGAACCCAAGAGGCAAAGGTTATAGTGAGTCGAGGTTACACCACTGCGCTGCCACCTGGGCAGCAGAGCGAGACTCCCTCTCCAAAAAAAAAAAAAAAAAAAAAGACTAGGTATCAAGCAAATTAGTAAATCAGGAAGAGAAAGATATCAAACAAGTAAATTCTACTTTTGGCTTTTTGAGAGAACCAATAAAACAGGCAAACTTTGGGCATACAGTATCAGTGAAAAAGGGGAAAAAAACACATAAAAATTAGAAATGATGAGGAGTCTATCAAACCTCTTCAATGATTTTGCAAACTATATGACCATAATTTATAAATATGTGGCAGTAAAATGAGAAACTTAACAAAATGAACAATATTTTTTAAATGTCAGATTGGAAATTAACTCAATAAGAAGTCGAATTCCTACAAAATTCAAAGAACAATTAATGAAAACATTTTTCCCAATTTTACCTCCAAAACAGATTCTGTGGTCCGATTATTCTACTTGTAAGGAATAGTTCCCGCCACATAATTATAATTTTTTTATTTTGTTTGTAATTTTTTACATATATGTAACTCCACAAAAAAAGTTTTGTAAAGTTCAATGTGAATATAACATCCTTAATGGTACCAAACAGATTTCAAGCAATAAAAAATACTACATATCATTCTTACTTTGGAACGTTCTTTAAAATTCTCAAGTAAACAAAAAGGAATTGAGCTACAAAATGTAATAAAAGTAAGCTTCCAGCTATGCAAGAGTAACATAATATTAGCAAATCAGCTGACTGAGAGGGGAGAACCAAACCATCTTCTCAGCAGATTTTAAAACATTAATTTATATGTAATCAAGATTTATAGAACATCAACAGAAATTTCTGATAATCAAATAAGTTAATTAAGAATAGAATTACTTCTTAAGAAAAAGAATAAAACTTATACAAATAGTCAACACAATATTTAAATTACATTCATGAAAGACATTACTAATAAAATCAGAAAGAACAAAGAGTTATACAGTTATTTCATGTCACAATGAAAGACCCAGCCAAGGCAATAAGTAGTGAACTCAAAAAATGTATGATGCTAAAAAGGAAAAAAATTAAAGTATCTATAATTGTTATTAGTTTTAGAAAATATTATTTTCTACCTGGAACCACAAAAAAGCTAACTGAAGAATAATTACCATTAATAAAGAGCTAAATGAGATATCAGTATACAAAATATGTACACCTTAAGAATTCCAACAATCAATTCAAATACAATAGATAATTGTGCAATATCTAACACATATGAGCCAGGCATTGTTCTATGCACCTAACTTGCATCAACGTATTTCACCCTCAGGACAACTCCAACAGCTAGGTATGTATCATTAGCTCCATTTTGCAGATGAGAAGGGAAAGCCCAGAGAGAGTAAAGGGTTTGCCCAAGTTTACACAGAGAACAGGCGGTGGAGCTGGCATTTATATCCCAGCTGCAGAGGAATTGGGGCTAGAGGAGGCCAATCTGCATTTTATATCATCATCACACTTGTTTCTTAAATTTTTACAGTAGGTTGTGTGTTCATATACTGAAAACATTCACCAATTCATACAGAGGGTTGATAGGTTACATTAGGTAATGGGAATATGGATTTTTAAAATTTGTATTTATGTGCTTTTAATTTATCTATCCATTATGAACATCATATCATTTGTAATAGGAAAAAATATGATAAATGCAATTTTGAAGCACACTGCTTGGGTCATAAGCTCAGATGGAGAACGGTCTGTATTTTAGACATGTCTCTTATATTCAACAGCATTAAAATAATTTGCACCATCTGAGTGACAGCATGATTGTCACAAACTTAACCATAAAGTTTTCAGGGAGACAGTTCCTGCCACATAATTATAAAGAAGAATGACTTCATGCATCCCACCTCAAATCTTGAGAAAACAAACACTTAATGAAGATGACCCCCAAAGTGACGTTAGACCAACTTATCAAAGTGTCAAATGTATGAGGGTACTGAACTGGATATCATTTCAAAACATAGTTAATTACGTATCTATGGAAGGCTATAGGTTATATGTTGTATAATTTTACTATAAGAAAATAAATAATACATAATTATCTGAAAAGACAGTTTTATGTGTATATTTTGATATACAATTCTTCCTATATATTGTTTACAAAATATTTGCCAGTAGCCTATTACCAGATTTTAGAGTAAAGTGATTAAACAGTTCCCAGGTTTACATGTCATAGATTTACGTTTCAGGATTACAATTTTCAAATAAAATTTTTAAAAAACTCTTTAGTGATTCTAGTCTTTAGTGATTTTAGTGTTTCTTATAAAAAAAATAAAACATGAGTGAAGAACAGTAAATCAAATTTCTCATTTCAATACTCAGAAAGTTATACTAATTATGAATACAAAATATATAATAAGTTGTTCTGCTTACCATTTGAATAGAATGCTTGGAATTCTATTTGGAAAAGTATCCCAGTAAAATTCAGGAAGATCTGAAAAATAAGAATGATTGAGGAAGATTAATTGAATCTATTTTATATATTATTTAATGTATTAATTCCATGTAACCTTGACTCATACTCATTCCAAACTCCCACAAGAATACATTCAGACTCATAATTTTCATTTAATATGAATATTATGTAAACACAGGAAATAGCATGTGTCTTTTATTTATTCACAGAGTTAGGAACTACCTTTCCAGCTTGACTGCCCTCAGCCTCAACTCTGGCCTTCAGGAATCACACTGTGCAGTTAAAAGAAATAATTCACTCTATACTCTGACTTGATGCTTCTCTTAAACAAAATCAAGTGACTGTACCACTATGCTCATGATTTTTTAAAATCATACTTTAAGTTCTGGGATACATGTACAGAACGTGCACGTTTTTTACATAGGCATAATAAATGTGCCATGGTGATTTGTTGCACCCATCAACCCCTTATCTACATTAGGTATTTCTTATAATGCTATCCCTCCCCTAGTACCCCATGCTCCAACAGACCCTAGTATGTGATATTCAACCCCTTGTATTCATGTGTTCTTATTGTCCAACTCCCACTAATGAGTAAGAACATGCGGTGTTTCGTTCTCTGTTCCTGTGTTAGTTTGCTAAGAATGATGGTTTCCAGCTTCATCCATGTCCCTGCAAAGGACATGAACTCATCCTTTCCTGTGGCTGCATAGTATTCCATGGTGTATATGTGTCACATTTTCTTTATCCATTCTATCATTGATGGGCATTTGGGTTGGTTCCAAGTCTTTGTTATTGTAAACAGTGCTACAATAAGCATATATGTGCATGTGTCTTTATAGCAGAACAATGATTTATAATCTTCTGGGTATGTATCCAGTAATGGGATTGCTGGGTCAAATGGTATTTCTGGTTCTAGATCCTTGAGGAATCACCACACTTTCTTCCACAATGGTTGAACTAATTTACACTCCCACCAACAGTGTAAAAATATTCCTATTTCTCCACATTCTCTCCAGCATCTGTTGTTTCCTGACTTTCAATGATTGCCATTATAACTGGCATAAGATGGTATCTCACTGTGGTTTTGATTTACATTTCTCTAATCCCCAATGATGATGAGCTTGTTTTCATATGTTGTTGGCCACATAAATATCTTCTTTTGAGAAGTGTCTGTTCATATCCTTCACCCACTTTTTGATGGGATTTTTTTTTCTTGTAAATTTGTTCTTTGTAGATTCTGGATATTAGCCCTTTGTCAGATGAATAGATTGCAAAAATTTTCTGCTATTCTGTATGTTGCCTGTTCACTCTGATGATAGTTTCTTTTGTTGTGCAGAAGCTCTTTAATTTAATTAGATCTCATCTGTCAATTTTGGCTTCTGCTGCTATTGTTTTTGGTGGTTTAGTCATAAAGTCTTTGCCCATGCCTATGTCCTAAAGCAGGCGTCCCCAAACTTTTTACACAGGGGACCAGTTCACTGTTCCTCAGACCGTTGGAGGGCCACCACATACTGTGCTCCTCTCCCTGACCACCAATGAAAGAGGTGCCCCTTCCTGAAGTGCGGTGGGGGGCCGGATAAATGGCCTCAGGGGGCCGCATGCAGCCCACGGGGCCGTAGTTTGGGGATGGCTGTCCTAAAGGGTATTGCCTAGGCTTTCTTCTAGGGTTTTTAGGGCTTACATTTAAGTCTTTAATTCACCTTGAGTTAATTTTTGTGTAATGTGTAAGGGAAGGGTCCAGTTTCAGTTTTCTGCATATGGCTAGCCAGTTTTCCCAACAGGAAAGTTTAAGTCTGCTTAAGCTGTACACACAGCTATCCCTTTCCACAGGTTATCTGTGGAAATGGGAGTTTATTCTATAAGCCCTTGACTGGGGCTTCTGCCTTTCCTTCTAAGATGCCCTGTGCAGAAAGGAGGAATCTAGAGAGGCAGTCTGGTTTTGCCAAGCTGTGGTGGGCTCTACCAGTTTGAACTTTTTGGCAGCTTTGTTTACACTGTAAGGGGAAAATCACCTATGCGAGTTTCAGTAATGGTGCATGCCCCTCCCACCACCAAGCTCAAAAATCCCAGGTCAACTTCAGACTGCTGTGTTGGCAGTGAGAATTTCAAGCCAGTGGATTTTAGTTTGCTGGGCTCCATGGGAATGGGATTCGCTAAGCTAGACCACTTTGGCTCACTAGCTTTAGCTGCCTTTCCGGGGGAGGGAAATATTCTGTCTTACTGGCATTCCAGGTGCCACTGGGATACGTTAAAAAAAAAAAAAAAAAAAAAAAAAAAACAACAACTCCTGCAGCTAGTTCAATGGCTGCGAAAATGGCCACCCAGTTTTGTGCTTGGAATCCAGGTCCCTGGTGGTGTAGGCACCCGAGGGAATCTCCTGGTCTGCTGGTTGTGAAGACTGCGGGAAAAGCATAGTATCTTGGCCGGAATGCATTGTTCCTCATGGCACAGTCCCTCACAGCTTCCCTTTTCTAGGGGAGGGAGTTTCCCAGCTCCTTGCACTTCCTGGGTGAGGTGACGCCCCACCCTGCTTCAGCTGGTCCTCCGTTGGCTGCATCCACTATCTAACCAGTCCCAGTGAGATGAGCCAGACACCTCAGTTGGAAATGCAGAAATCACCTGCCTTCTGCATTGATCTCGCTGGGAGCTGCAGACCAGAGCTCTTCCTATTTGGCCATCTTGCATGCACCTCATAAAAACCTCATAATTTTTAATGGTACTTCACAAACTTTCTGTGGGAGAAAATGACACTATAATCTTCAAGTGTGATCAGAGGAAATCTATTTCCTGAACTTTTTGAGTCTGTATACTAGGTAAGCTAATTTATAGGTTTGGCAATTATATCACTTCTGGAAATATATTTAAGATAGTGATTACCATGTTATTTCAGACATAGCATAATAACTGTCAAGTATTTTTATATAATACCAAAGAATTCTCATCAATTAAAAAAATCCTTATTTTTAAAAGATAAGGAAAATGAAACTCAAGGAAAGAGAAATAGTTTGGCTAAGATCTTAGAAATAGTGCTGTGACCAGATGCTAAGTCTCGAAGCTTTATTCTGTTCCTCTTTCTGCAGCATTATTTGAAACATATTTATTAAAACTATAATATATGCCAGGCATTTAACTGAGCACTGGGGAGTTAGTAATGAACATGATAGATAAAGAACCTGATTTCATGAAGCTTAATTCTAATAATCTTGGTTCATTTAAGTATTGAAATAAACTCTTCCATCCATATAATTAATATAGAATGAAAGTTTAACCAAGATACCAAGAGTTCAGAATGCACTGGTATTATGAGCCAAGCCTAATTTTCAATGAATATTCTTTCTTCAAACTTTTGAAATATATATATATATATATATATATATTTTTTTTTTTTTTTTTTTTTTTTTTTTTTTTGAGAGACGGAGTTTCGCTCGTTACCCAGGCTGGAGTGCAATGGCACAATCTCGGCTCACCACAACCTCCGCCTCCTGGGTTCAAGCAATTCTCCTGCCTCAGCCTCCAGAGTAGCTGGGATTATAGGCACGTGCCACAATGCCCAGCTAATTTTTTGTATTTTTAGTAGAGACGGGGTTTCACCATGTTGACCAGGATAGTCTCGATCTCTCGACCTTGTGATCCACCCACCTCGGCCTCCCAAAGTGCTGGGATTACAGACTTGAGCCACCGCGCCTGGCCTTGAAATATATTTGACTTACAAAGTGCTTAACTAAACATCTGAATATCTTTGACATGTAGATAGACATTTTGTGCAAAGATAAAACTTTCAGAAAACAAATTTTTTTCATATAATTTTTTCAAAGATGTTTTATTTACTTACTGATCTGTTTGTGTCAACTTCCAGGCTCAGTGTGAAGCTTAAAAACATGCTGCAGAGATTATAAGTTTCACACGTGCAAATGAGCAAACAGACTCCACATACACGAGCAGAATAAAGACCTTGAGATACATTCTGCAAATCATTTATTAACCACTGTTTCATATTTGGCGATGAGTTCAGTTGTTCCACTTATAGTAGGCATTTGCAAAATAGAATGGCATAGTTTAAAAATAACAGATTGAATCCCTAGATCACTAAAACACCTTTCTCATACCTTCATTTTTGTACTTCCTACCAATAAGATATAAGTAACTACACTCCTGTTGAGTTGCATTATCTTAATGACTTTTACAATTATCTTAATTATTTTACAATGATTTTCACATGAGGCAAATTGGGATGCTTTTGATGTTACAAAAACCTCAGTTGAAATCTGGAAAACAAAGAGCCTAAAATGATTTACTAAACATAAGACCAAGTTGCCAAGGTTTTCTTAAAATTATAGCAACTGAAAGATATGTGGAATGGTTACATAGTATGAAGTGATTACTGGTTAAGATTCCTTGTGACCGAGTCCAAAGCCTCTGAATGTGACTACTGACTTGACTCACTTAGGAATACTGCTGTTTTAGCAAAGTTTACTTTCAGATCCTCTCTAAACCTTCTTAATATAACATTCAGGGTAATCAATTAGTGACTGATTTCAACAAAAAAAGAATCAGTTCATTGAATGCACCCATCAGAGAATGACTAAGGAGAATCATTCTCTTCATTTTAAAGAAGAAACAAACCCATTCACATAGCTGGTGATAGATAGAATGGAATCTGGTTAAGGCTCCTTAATTACTAGTTCTGTGTCTTTTCCACAATGTCATAGTTAAGGTAAGAAGTGTTTTATTCTTTAAGTGCCATATACTTAGGACAGAAGGAACATTGTATGGTATATATCATGAAAATAAAACTCCTTACATATATTACAGCACTCTATATTACATATTATTACATATTTTATATATATATATATATCTGTAATTCACCATATACATGACATTAATTAGAAATTTCTGAACTTAAAAACTGTGTCTTCTGCTGCTAGGGACCAATTCCATTGTATAAAGACACTATCTGCGTCATCTTTTCAGAATCATAACACTAAAAGCTCAGAACTGCACCACCAAAGCTT